CGTGACACCTATAATTCATTAAATAGTCAGTAGAACAACTGGATCTCGTCTTTCCAATTCATATCACTTATAGGTACAACGTTTTCTTTCTTTTCCTTTTCTCTTTTTTTGTTTCTTTTTTTCGTTATGTGCTATTTTGTTTCTCTCTTCCTTACAAACTCTACTTAAAATATTCTTCTTCGTTCTTTCACACTCTGTATATCTCGACCTTTTTGTTACCGCTTACGCCAGTAAATATGCTAGCATCTACTTTTCTAACACCTTCAAACATTCTGTTCACTTTTGTCTTTGCTACCGATATGCTAATATGTTGTTGTCAAAAGCAACTGAGACTACCCATAATCTATGTAGAATTTTATTTATTGTTAATGTACAAACTGGATGCAATACTGTAGTGAAATGCTGAGATTTCCATTTTGTATCACAAGTACTGTTTTAGAATAAAGCAAATTATTATTATTATTCTTGAAACGTGTGTGAGCCAGTAATGGCAGATATTTTTATGATTTATTGAACTTTGTCACTTATAAAATAATGATAAATTTTAAATTAGGACAAACTTCAGCTTTATGTCTTAAAATTAAAAAAAAACACTCATATTGGCTTGAGATATTCTATCCAATCCAGTCATGTTTGCTTGAAATTGTCATCATTGTCATAGTAACATCATCTTGACTGTAAGATGATTGGTTAATTTTGAAATGCGTGGGTGGCAGTCATGTTAGGCACAATTTGATTGGTAGATACTTCTGTATGTGTGTTCGCGCTAAGCAAAAATATTATCACGTCTAAGTAACTATTATAAACATTCAAATAGCTTTCAATATTTATGATGGCTGTGATGATGTGGTCATTGAAAATGTAGGATCTGGGGTGGCTAGTTGTCTTCAGGGTCACAGATGTTAGTATTCTATCTCCTGTGTTATTATTATTTATTATTATTCTGTTGGCTTCCGGGTGGAGAATAGGGCTTCAACAATACATCTCCATTTTGTCCCATTCTCTGCAGTCCTGTTTAGCTGGCTCCACGACTGCCCATAAGTTCTTATCTCCTCCTTACACACCCTCTTCCATGTCACCCTCGCACACATGTCCAACTCTTCGTTTCCCGTTTGGGTTCCACTTGAGCGATGGTCTGTCGTACGATATCAAAGTCTCCTGCGGAATTGTAACTAGTTCGGTCTACACATCGATCAAAGGATGTTTTTACTACGCATCAGTTCACTCGGTCCTCCTTTATGACTGTGAGGCACGAAAAGGTTAGCTATCTTTGATCATACGTCTCTGCATTCTACCTCCCGTGTCAAATGGCTTAATATGGTAAGCTGTGAAGAGTTAAGATGTAGCGTGTTAGGTGAAAGGGGAAGTCCAATCGATGAGATTGTCACGCTATATCGAATGGGATGGCTAGGAAGCGTATTATGTATGCCTAATCACCAGTTTCCTCGACGAGCAACGTCAGTTGACATCTGTGTCTTAGTGTGCTATATTGTGTATGACAGCTTCAACTGGGACACATCTATGTGCTGCGTTCTACGTTGAAACTCAGTCAGCCAGTCAGTCAGTGACTCATGGTGGTATATGTATTAACTTTTGATTGACGGACTGTGTTAGTGCATAGGTCCAAGTTCTTTTGCTTTGGAAAAGCACAAAGAAATTAGAAAAACAGAAATATACATGCAAGGAAGAGGATAACCAATTGGGGTGTGATGATTGTGGTGGTTGGGGATTCCTTTTTGAAGCCTTTCAGAATCTAATAGATGCATGCTAAATAGGGAATACACTGCCTTCAGTTTGAATGAATTCTTGATCGTGTTATAAAGAGTTGTTATGACGTCGTGTTGCAACAACAGAAGACAAGAGCCAGGCAACAGATCGTTTATTAAGGAAAATCAACCATATTTATAGATTTTAATGTACATTATTGTAGATTATTGTTAGTAGAAAATACAGTCTTTTGATTGGTTGTTTCTCACACAAAATTAACCTTGCATCTCTTTGTGGCTGTGTCAGATCATCCATATGCTAACTGTATCCGCCTACGCAAAGTCTTTGTTCTCATTTTCTCACCACCAATATTGGGGACATAAACATTGACGTCAATTACTGTCTACCAACTTTGGCTAGCAGCCAGCTCTCACCACAGTGTTACTGGGTTATGCATTCGTCTAGCTTGACTTGTATGCGCCTCCAGAACATGACACTATGTGCCAACTGGTCTTATTCCCCAGACCCTAATAAGATAAGAAATTTGGAGGATAGTTCAGCTATAACACTGTGTACAATACTCAGCTCCCTTTCTCCTAACTCAATAACAATTTTAACTTTATCAAATTTCTAACCTCTTTTTCCTTTGTGCCGTTGAGTATTACGTAATTTATGAGTTTTATTTTTGCTTTTGAAGCCACTTTTGAGTAATTATACCAATTACGTTACCTCCCCCTTATTACTCAATAATGGACTGCTATACATTTTTGGTGAGTATAAATGCGACTGTACAGCCTCTGAAGATGATTTCATCGATAAAGAAACTTTTCTTCGTTGAATTGTCTTTAAATAATAATAATATTAATGATGACATGCACAACAATCATGTACAGAGTGATGACAACACCAACAATAAGGAATTTCGGATCATAAGTAGTACTTCCATACAAAGAAGGAACCTCGGAAACCACCTCACGGTTGCGAATTCTTAACAAGGCAGGAATAAGAAAGTGGTTGACATTCAAACCACCCACAAACTCAATTAGAAATAAGTTTTGTCAGTTAAAGGATCCTGTTAATGGAGCCAATTAAACAAACAATTTAGTTTATCTAATAACCTGCTTGAATGATGGTCAGATCAAAGTAGTAGAACAGGGTCAGTCAGACTAGCGGAGCATAAAAACCTAGCAGCGAAATCTAGATTAGTTGACCCGAATAAGATAAGAAATCTAGATACTAGTTCAGCTATAGCACTCACTACATGCAGTTACACACAACCATACAATAGGATGAATGGGATAAGATGACAGTTTTGAAATCTAATGTAACAGCAGGGTGGAGGGAGAGATTGATAACGGAAGCCTTATTTGTCAAGTCAACTGATAGAGAATACGTGTCATAGGAATGATTCAACACCTGTCCTAGATATCTGGAAAGAATAAAGAACACTATGAAACGAAAGTTCTGAAGTTGTGTAGTTGCAATTGACAGTATGATTGTGAACTATAATAATAATAATTTTTTAAAATTTTTATTCCTTTACGTTCCCAGTGGAACATAGGGTGGCTTCAAGCTAGTGCGTTTTTGAAGTTTCGGTAACAGTGGTTTTTATTTTTATGGGATGGGGTTGCTAGCCAGCCTCATGCCCAACCTCCTCTCTTTGCCAGTCTTATTACTTGCTTGGCGAGGTCTAGGAGTGCATCTGTGACCGGGGATCGAACCCCGGGTCACATGAGGCGTGGTCGGCGAGCATTCTACCGCTGTGCCACCGACACATTATTATTATTATTATATATTTTTATTATTGTCCATAAACAAATTGTGTTTGAAACTTTGTCATCCAGTAAATACACTTGTGTTTTTCAAAAGAATGGATACTGAACAAAGAGTACTCTTTTCGATAACTTCATCATCAGGCTCTACAGTTATATATACATTATAGTGAATGAATGAATTGGTGTTAAAAACAACATTAGTGCTGTTTAAATAACATCGAATCAATAATACCAATAGATTACAGTTCAATAGCATCAACATAACAATAAACTGAATGTCAGAAAAATTAGGAAAGATAATATTACAAATTCATGAATTGATAGTCTCTACTGAAGGCCGGTCAGGGCAGTAGTAGGGACTGGACTTGCTTCTTTTGAACACAGAGCACTGGTTGTTTGAGGCGAATTGCAATAGCCTCTGCTGTTCGGAGCATGCGGTGCTTCGATGATTTTGGCAATTTATTAGTCACCCGGTAGATTATAGAGAAGGATTCTTCAACGCTGGCTGGCTTTGTGGCCGGTCGGTTTGCACCAGATGGTCTAATATCGAACTGTTGATGGTTTTAACTACACCTTTACTTAGCCATAGTGAGATATGTTCTCGAGCACGAAAAATCAAGTTCCTAGAGCATCGGCCAATATAACTCGCTCCACCACAAGCGCAGTTGAATTGATAGATAAAATTTGAAGTGGCTAGTCTCGGTACGTCATCTTTCAGTAGAGGTAGCACAATCGATCGTGTAGAGAATAAAACGTGTAGTTCTCCAGCATTGAAAGTTCTTTGAATTGATTTTCTTAATTTCTTCGTAATTATCTCACTTGGTATGCCTCCCTTGAATTGTAGTCGTATATAAAGTGGCTTCTTGTTTACAGAAGTGGTGAGAGCTGGCTGCTAGCCAAAGTTGGTAGACAGTAATTGACGTCAATGTTTATATCCCCAATATTGGTGGTGAAAAAATGATAACAAAGGCTTTGCGTAGGCGGATACAGTTAGCTTATGGATGATCTGACACAGCCACAAAGAGATGCAAGGTTAATTTTGTGTGAGAAACAACCAATCAAAAGACTGTATTTTCTACTAACAATAATCTACAATAATGTACATTAAAATCTATAAATATATGTTGATTTCCTTAATAAACGATCTGTTGCCTGGCCGTTGTCTTCTGTTGTTACACCTTCACGTTTCCAGTGGAATATAGGGCACCTTCAAGCTAGAGCCAGCTTGAAGTTTCAGTAGCAGTGGTGTTTACTTTTACGGGATGGGGTTGCTGGCTATCCTCATGCCTAACCTCCCCTCTTTGCCAGTCTTATTACTTGCTTGGTGAGGTCTAGGAGTGTGTCGGTGGCAGGGGATCGAACCGCAAGCCACATGTGGCGTGATTGGCGGGCATTCTACCGCTGTGCCACCGATGCATTATTATTATTGTCATATTGTTATTATTATCCACTAATAAATTGTGTTTTAAGCTTTTTCATCCAGTAAATACACTTGTTTTTCCTTATTCCTTTTTTTAGGATGCTTTCACTACTGGCATACTACCGATTCTATCCTTCTGGTTCTTTTGGTTTCTTATCATTTGGTTAATTTGTGCAATTACAATACAAATGTATTATTTAAATCGTGCGCTTGACCTGTTCAACACAGGAGTGATTACACCTTTACTGTATGTATTTTTCACTGGTTTTGTCATCATTGCATCGGCTATCTTATTCCGTGAATTAAATGTCTTAGATTATATGGATTATATTGGTTTAATACTTGGCCTGTTGTGTACTGTTCTTGGCATCTTTATGATAACTGTACTCAAGGTAAGTGATGGTATGAGCGTCTTTGTGTGCATGCGTGTGTGTGTGTTTGTTGGTGTGAGTTTTCGAAATTTGTTTTTACGAGTTTGACCTCGGAGAGAACCATTGAAAACCAGCAGGAAGGGTACTGGACAGCTGTTTTGCCAGCCTAGTTTGGGAATCATCGGCAGTATGCACCCACCGCCATGGTTCGAACCGAGGACCTACCGGTTACAAGGCCAGCGAGCTCGTATGCCACTCAGGCATCGGGACCCTGCCCGATTCAGTGTTCAGCCCATGAATCCTAACTTCTATCAGTTCGTGATGAGTTTAGCGCGACCACCAACCAATGTCATCGGCGGGAACTCCATCCTCACACTTGACATCTGGATGGACCTCACTGGTCATGACTTCGCACTAGACTCCAAAACTCCGTCCTGTAGCAAGTCAGTCACTAGCGAGCATCAGAATAATTTTCTATAGTTGGTTTGCAAGGATTAGATTTGTTTTTTACGAGTTGATCATGGATTGATATCAGTTATAGAGAACCATTGGAAACCAGCCACAGGGAGTACTGGACAGTTGTTTCGTCAGCCTAGTCTAGGAATCATTGGCAGTACGAACCCGACGGGCATTACTAGCTGATATAGGTGCAGGTTGGAAAAGAGTAAGTGGTAGCCAAACAAAAACATGGCATCAATCAATCCATGAAATCCTTAACAGTTAAACTGAGTCAGGTAGGGAGATGCAGACTTCCTGACTGGTTGGGGCCCTCGGGACTCTAAGAATCGATGGCTGGAGACAATAGGTGACATGGCTCAAAATGATCGTTGTCAATGGCTTACGCAGATGTATTCAGTCTCTGTAATCTTTCATATTCCTTTCTACCATTACTCATTCTGTTTCATTCTTATACTTGTCAAAACTCTATTGATTCTCTTCACTCATCTTCTTCTTGTCTACCTTTGTGTGGTATTTGGAAGGTGGCAACTGGAACTGCTGCACTTCGGTGCCAATTTCTATGTTGAATCCAGCAGCAGCAACGAATCCACTGGGGTTCGAACCCAGGACTTCTGTTTTTCAAGGTCCTACTAAACTTTAGGCGAGGCCTGATTGTGGGTATGGCAACGTGTTCCAATACAACATGAGATAACTGTTCTTCAGTTTTATATGTCTTTGGGTCTCAAAATGTACTTCTGAACATCTTACAAGGTTGGCTTTCACAGCTAGATATCGTGGATTTCTTGAAGGAAGGAGACAAAGCAGATATTTCACATTATGGAAGGGTTTGTGCTTCAGCTCTGAGAGAGCACTGTGTCCCAAAAAGGATATACTGTCAATTAATCAATATTTTACTTGAAGATATTGTGCGAAGACAGAAAATATCTTGCAATGAACTCCTCTGAAAATACTGTACATTTCATAAATACTGTTCAGAATAAACATATTATCATTATTATCACAAAATTCAAAAATTAGTAATAATAAGGAGATAGTTGAACTTGGAATTATATTCAACGTAGAAGGAGGAGGGGATGGAGAAGCACATAAATCAGGCTTTTCTATCCAAATTACTAAGGTCGACACCCTAATGAAGAGAATATCTAATGCGCTGAGAAAAGAAAACTTTGCTGCTGCATATCGATTGTTATTCTCAAGCCGCCCATTGTTCTTCAACAACTCTAAAGATATATTATTGTATTTGACCACTTCTATGTGTATTTACCAATTTACTTGCTCCTGCGAACAAAAGATCTGTAGGTCGCCCGATTCGTTTCTTTTATCTGAAAGAGTCAAAGAACATTATCCTGCTTGCCTACAAAAAGGTAAAAGTGGATCATTAAGGGATACTGTAATTGAACGTATATTTCAGGTTTTCATGAAATGACATCGGTAAGAGAAACATTGGAAAACCTGGGAGTACGGAACAGCTGTTTCTCATGTCTTAGTTTGCGACTCTTCACCCCCAACCAATAGGGTTCGAATGCAGGATCTTCCATTTACAAGGCGAGCTCGTAGACCATTAAGCCACGGGGACCCAATCCAATGGCCAATCCATGAATTCAAATTTTTGCTGATTCTTGATATGGAGCGACCACTAGCGGATGCAATCTCTGGTGAGTCTCTATCCTCACATCCGACTTTCTTTACCACAGTGGTCACGATACACACTAGCGACTGGCCCTATCCAGGTTGGTAGTTACCTGCGTTCTAGTGAGAATTCATGACCAGTGGGGTACAGCAGGTCCACTGTGAGGACAGATACTCGCCAGAGGTGACATTGGTTAGTGCCAGTCGCTCCATGTCATGAATTGGCAGAAGTTGGAATTCATGAACTCACTATTGGATTGATGGTTCCCAGTGGCTTCTTAATGGTCTACTAGCTCCCCTTGTAACCAGATGGTCCTGGGTTCGAATTCTGTTGGTGGGTGTACAGTGATGAAGAGTCCCAAACTAAACTGGCGATAAAGCTGTCCAATGCTCCCAGGCTTTTCAGTGATTTTCTAACCGACGTCATTTTATGATGGAAATCTGAAACCAATGCTTGAATTACAAAGTTAGCTGAAACATCCAGCTAAGTGTCAATGCTGTAATTAGATCATTCATGGGGAGGGATTTTCCGACACAATGATTGCGTTACAATGAAGGAAATTTGTTATTTTTCTCACAAATCTTGATGTGATCTGATTTCTACAACTTTGAAACATAAGATCATTAGAAGTGAAAGCCTATGAAGAGACTAGTCGTTTCTTTTTGTGACCATAGTTATCTACATTCTATCATTTTTGTAGTTAAGTGGCAGTTTCCTGCAGTTGTTTAGAAATCTCACCTATCGTGTGTGTCTATGTAAGGGTGAGTAGTACTAGCTGGTGATTTTTCGAACCTCGGAAGGTGCAACAGGGATTAAACCTGCTGACCCACTGGTTGAAAGTCAAACTCTTATACATCAGTGAGCCACAGCTCCGCAGGTGGTGTATGCTATACGAGTTTGTCTTGTAACCGGAAATCCTTGGGTTCGAACCCCATGAGTTCCAAACTGGGACAACAGAAACAGAAGTCTATTTAATTCATCCTGGTTTTCAACGGTTCTCTGACAGAATCCAATCCGTGATCCAACGTCACATGTCTTATACAGTTATTTTTGATTGATTTAAACACAAACTAGGTACAATGTGGGTGCCAGTAGGTGTACCATATACAAAACGCAGTAGAAAGTGGGATGTATATAGAAACGGATCACAGGGATTGATGAACAAGATGATAAACTAGCAGAGGTTGGCATACTAATCCAGAGAATTTAAGGAAGTTTAAGCACTGGGTTCGAATCTCAGGTGGGACATGACTTCTTCCAAGATTGCAGATACGTGTTGCTAACTGACTGACTGATGAGTGCCAAGAAACATTAAAACTAGATCCCTGCAGGGCTCCTTACTTATTGTCTCCAATCATTTAACATCATTTTAATGGCCCAGACGTAAGTAGATGGCCATCTAAAGGAACCACTTCTACGAGGCTTTGACACTTCATTACTCTCTGTCTCACTCTCTCTCTATTTATGTACAAATTAGCCAGTTTATCTGGCCCCTTTATACTTGGATTTTAACTTCAAATCTGACCTTTGAGGTAGCAGACAGTATCAGAAGCTGCATTCTTATGGTTACCTATGGGCAAGATGCATTCAATATTCGATTTGTTCCTTCAGGATTCACTAAGCCCGTATCTTACAACATAGATTTGAAATTAAGGTTTTCCAACACCTCTAGATTGGATCTTCATGTCCACTAATCTAGTGATGGACACTTAACAGTTCCATTCATCCGTCCACTTTTTTGTGTGAGAACACCTGGAGCATGGAGGTAGTGGGTGGGGAGACTTACCGAGTGCTGGAGCCTTTGGACACGTGACTATTACGAGAGGAGAGAGCATTTCAATAGCATGATTGGAATATCTGCTCATCCTTGATGATGTTAGGGTGTGCTTCAGACGCAACAATACTCCTTCAGATGATATATTATCGATTTCACTTGAAGGACCTATGCAACGGAGTGAAAATCACTTTAAAGCAATTAGTTCCTTTTATGGAATTTCGACAAAATAATAAGAAGATGCAGTTTATTTGAAACGTGTAGTGTGCGTATTTGCGCAACACATTACGGACATTCTGATCACACACTCGCGTACTTGTCATTCACAGTTTTAAAGAAGACATGAATCATTACAATACAGGTCATATTGTGTACAGGTCAAGGTCGCAAATAATGGGTAGGGAGATGACGCAAAGGTGTGGGTAAGAAAGGAAGAAAAAACACCAGTAAAGGGTTGAAAAAATTATAAAACTTGGTTCTAAATTGGGTTACCAAAGCAGAGTTAAAGTAATATCAAATAATTTTATCAAGTATTGCTTTATAGGGATTTTGTTTGATTGATTGGAAGATTTCATCATGAGCACTGACATCAGTTAGAGAACCATTGGAAAACCAACCAAGGAGTACTGGACAGCTGTTTCTTTAGTCCCAGTTTGGGACTCTTCATCGGTACGCACCCATCACTTGGGTTCGAACCTAGGATCTTCTGGCTAGCGAGTTGGTAGACCATTAGGCCTCTGGAACCCGATCCAATGGCCCAATCAAACAAATTCCTTACAAAACCAATACTTGAAAAATTGATCTGATGCTCACTAGTGACTGGCCCTATTCAGGTAGGCAGTTACCTGGGGTTCTAGTGGGAAGCCGTGACCGTTGGGGTGCAGTAATTTGAAGGTGAGGCAGTAACTCATCGAAGAAGACACTGCTTAATAACAAATAACTTTTGGACACATAAGACAGGTTTAAGTCTTTTATGGTTAAGGCTTCAACGAATTTAAGTATGTGATCCAACCTTGTTTTATATAGACATTATTGAAATAGACTTTATGATCCGTCTGTATAATGTGCTTCGCTAAATATGCTGTTAGAGACATCTATTTCCGGGACTAATTTTATTTGTTGTCGCAACCACTTTGGAATATGTTTTGTAGCCCTAACCTACAGAGACCGATTTATTATTATTGTTTTCTTTAGTTCCTAGAGGAACATAGGGCTTAAGCCGGACGTCTCCATTGCGTTCGGTTCCCCCACCCCTGGTCCACGTCTACCCTCATACTTCCATCTGTTTTTCACTTGACCTCTTCCATGTCACCCCACCCTCACACTGATGACCAACTAACTCGCCACTTCCCATTCGGGTTCCACTCGAGCGATGACCTGTCGTGTGATGTCACTCACTTGATGGTTTGTTTTCTCAGAGTATGGCCACCAATCCACCTCCATTTCTTCCTGCATATTTGTTGCACAATTGGTTCCTGCTGGGCTGGTTTGCTCATTGTCAGAGATCCCTGTTGGTGATCTTTTCTGACCGGCCATCTGATCTTGAGTAGTATTTGGCGAAGACAGCTGTTGATGAAGGTGTGTAGTTTGTTCGAAGTGCCCTTTGTGACGTGGCACCAAGTCTCTGATCCGTATAGCAAGTAGCAATGACTTCACATTGGAGTTGAAAATCCGGATCTTATTTTTCATGCTGAGTGCTGTTGATCTCCACATAGACTTGAGAGTAATGAAAGCTTGCTTGCCTTGCTTTCCTGATCCTCGCTGCTGTGATATCCTCATCAGTGCTATCCACCTGTAGTTGAAACGATGCTTCCCAAGTAGGTGGGTAGGTAGGTAAAGGAGATTGCTTCTTTCAGATTTCTCCCATTTACGCAGGCTGATTGTTTTCTGTTGTCGTTGTTGTTGCTGTTGGCCAATAATCTTCATCACCTACCTCTGTCTTCTCTATGTTCACCTGAAGTGAAATCCTATCTATGATGCTTATTCTGCTAACTTGTTGCTTTTCACTTGCATATCTTCCAGTTTGTGGAAAATCGGACGTATGTATCATCGGCGAAGTTCAGATCCTCCAAGACCGATGGGTCCTCCCTATGTTGTGTATGTTTCCACACATACATGTAAACTGATAAACACAATAGGATGCGACACTATCGATCGGATGCTGTACACAATCTGACCTGTATCGTAATAATTTATGCTTTCTTGCCTTCTGTATAACTCTTGTGTGTGTGTGATCAAAGTGTGTTGCACAAATACGCGCATTACACATTTCAGTTGTTAATGAAAACAAAACACGTAGTTCAGCGAAGAGTCTCTTTTCGTCGGTGAATTCATTTTCTTAGCTGTACAATCGCAAATATATATGAATGGGTTATTTTGTATGTATGTGTACATTAAGTTAATCAAGCAAAAATACAATTGGTTATAGTTATTTAAACTGAACAGGTGAAGATTGGTAATTGGAGTTGCGTAATGTACTAAATCAGTCAAGAAAATAAGGTGTTATTGAAATTAGGGTAGTAACAAGGGTGGTGAGTTGTCACAAGCAGTTGTTAAAAAAAAGAAGTTATGTTATAATACGAATAGTTTGATGATTGAGTTTTACTCAGGATACACATAGGAACAAAGTAGAGAATACGAAATTATGTGAGAGTTCTAAATGAATACAAGAATCATAAGCAATTAAAGAAACAGGCAAATAAGTCATCGAAAATCAACAAAGTTGTCACCATGACAGCAGAAGTGATTGAGTAATCCTCTTTTGTATTCACAGCTCCGGTTTCTCTATGTGAATGGCCAGGGCTTCAGCGATACAAAGAAGATGAAAACGTATTGCCTTTGGTAGGTTATTCTTGACTCTGTAGATTACTTTGAAGCAGGAGGCGTTTGTTGAGATGGAATGATCAGTGTTAACCAGGTGTTCAATTATCGCACTCCTTATAGCACCAGTATTGCCTTTTCGCAACCATGCTGGATACTGTTCTTGAATCGTCTTGGACAGGGTGCGCGTCGAACGACCGATGTACCTGGCTTCACAGTAGCAGGTGAACTGATATATGCACATAGAAGTGGTCAGATATGAGATCTTGTCCTTGAGGCTTCTGCGGATCAGTGGGCGACTGGAGAACACTATTCTTAGCGTTGCTGCAAAGAAGGTTCCTCTCAGAGATGATGTGATCCTTCTCTTGAAAATATCGCTTGTTAAATCTCCCTTGAAATCCAAGTTCATGTAGAGTTTCTTTTTAGGCGCAAGTGAAGTTTCGTTTCTCCGAATTCTCGGTTTGATATTTTTGTCAATGAATCTTATTGGGTATCCATTTTGGATGAACATTTCTCTCAGAATATTTAATTCTGTTTCCAGAACGTCGGGATCACAGATGCGTCAGATGCAGGTGGCAAGTGATTTAATTAAATTCCGCTTTTGTTGAATGGAAACCCAGCTATAGTAGCTTGTTAGTTGACCATTCCAAGTAGCTTTTCTATGGATCGATGTTCTTAGGCTCCCATCAGTTCTTCTTGTTAGTTCCACATCAAGAAACGGAATTTTTGATTCGTTTTCCATTTCAAGAGTGAATTTTATTGCTGGATGGCAAAAGTTAAATGTCTTCAGCAGTATATTGGGGTCATTGTTGTTGTCACAAATAATGAATATGACGTCTACGTACATTTCAGTTAAACACTACGTCTTCTTATAGGTGTTGTCGAGAATTACTTTGTTATAATATCTTAACTTACTAAAAAATTTCAGTTATTTTATACCTTCATAGGATTTAAGTTTAACATGGACAAGTCTTCGAACAATTCTATCTGGTGGAAAATATTCACCCTGTTATTCCTCAGCATCAAATGGTTCAGTTGTCAATGGACATGCTAAACAGTGTCATCGGCGTCGACGTGCTGCTGCTGCTGCTGGGAGTATACTACAGCGGAAATCAAACATTGTCAAGAAAACAACAAAATCACTTCATTGTAGACATTTATCAATCGATAAACTGAGTGCTGAAAAACTCATCTCTTCTAATCATTATTCAGATTCTGAACAAGCTGATAGTGAAGTACTATTACTCCCAACAATCAATGACAATAATAATAACAATCATTCTTCTCATGCATTATCAGAATCAGATACATCAGTGTCAAGACTACGCACACCGCATGACTCACCTCGTTCGTACACCCCAATGAATAATAATGGTGCATCCAACGGCACAACTGCTATTGCTTCTAGTACTACCACTATGAATACTATTTCTACTACCGCTTCTACAATCGCTAAATATCCTACCACAAGAAATATAATAATAGTGGTAGTAATAGTTTAAGACAATCGAAACAAGATTTATTAAATGTTTAATTTTGTCCAATAGGCGTTTAAATCGCGTAGAGGCGCGTAATTCAAATTTCAAGGTCGTACACACGTTGTGTGCAGGTGTATCGCATTTTTGTTTTTTTTCTTTCTTTCAAAGCCATGATCTTGCCTTTCAAATTGTTTGTTTTTGAATATTTAAACGTGTACACATTGGTCAAAAATGAGTTTGTTTTTAATTATCTGTGATCTTGTTCAATGTGTCAATGTGTTTAAGTGTGCTAAAAGGCGAGAGGAAGAGAGATTAGTCACAATATCAATTGTATCATGACCACTGTTGTTGTTCTTCTTCTTGTATACATATATAGAATAAACAATTACTGTATTCATAATTCGCATCTTAGTTTTGTTATTATTACTATTATTATTATTATTAATTGTACTCATACTAATGTTGTCCTCATGTATGATGTATTTTTGTAATCCCACTGGTTAATGAGAGAGAGGGAGGGAGAAAGAGTAGTGTCTTGTCGATCCAGATGAATGACTGGCTATGACTACTTTGACTTTGTCTCAGTTGTTTTTTAATCAAACTAAGGCTGTTAATGTGTGTGTGTCTGTTCTTGCATCTCTCTGTCTGTCTGTCTATCTATCTTTGTATTGATTACTTCTCACTAAATAAGAGAGAGAAGAAAAGAGGTCAATAAGTGTGCACTGTGTATTTTAAGTTGACTTATTCGATTGTTTGTTGCTTGTGTTTATCGCATAGAAAAGAACATATATATATATATATATATATATATATATATATATATATACCTAGACAATCAATTGTATGTGATTATTACTGTTATTCCTATTATTCTTAATAAATCAATAAATTGTTTTCGAGGATTGGTTTACAGAGTGATTTAATTGATTTCTAGACTGATCACGAACTAACTGACTAACTAACTCACTCACTGGCATCAGTGAGAGAACCATTGAAAGACAGTGACAGCAGTAGGGATTATTGGAGAGGTGTTTCGTCCTCGAGTTAGGATTCTTCAGTAGTACGCACCTTGAAATTTCTTCAGGTGACAAGGTGAACTTGTATACCAGTAAGTATATCACCGACTGGTTAGGAATCCAAGATCTTCCTACCTCATCCAGTCCACCACACAATCAGGAATGTCATCGGGGATAGTGGACAACTCTGACTACTAACAAAAAGCTTCACAGAGCTTTCTGTTGTGAATTATTTTGGTATGCGCTGGTGTCAGTATAAATCTCTGTTGGATGAGGTTTATAACATGTTTTGAGGTAGTCACTTCGTAGTGCTGAAGAGGTCAAAATAGATTATCGAACCTTTATTATTGTTAGCCGGGTAATTGTGTAAATTTAAAAATGCCCATTGAGTCATATGAAATAAAAGGTGATCAGCAAAGAGTTACTTCTCAAGCTGTACAATCGCTTGTACAACTCCAATGTGAAGTCACTGCTACTTACTATACGGATTATAGACTTGGCGCCGTGTCACAAAGGCCACTTCGAACAAACTACACACCTTCATCAACAGCTGTCTTCGCTCAATACTACTCAAGTTTCGATGGCCAGCCAGGAGCGAATCAACTCAGCAGGAACCAGTTGTACTACATATATGCAAGAATAAATGGAGGTGGATTGGTCATACTCTGAGAAAACAAACCATCAAGTGAGTGGCATCACACGACAGGCCATCTCTCGAGTGGAACCCGACTGAAAGGGAAGCAGCGAGTTGGTCGTCAGTGCAAGGGTGGGGTGACGGAGGAGGTCATGTGAAGGGGAGAAGAGGAAAGCATGTGGGCAGACGTGGGGTCAGGTGAAAACGTTGGTGGAGAACCGAACGCAATGGAGACGTTTGGCTGAAGCTCTATGTCCCTCTAGGAACTAAAGTAAACAATAATATAGTAATACAATTGCATATAAATATATGTATATATAGTAAATTTTCTAAACAACAAAGGCAATATTTCCAGGGTTGTATCATTAGAACTGGAAAATTTAGATGATAAATTTCGCTAATTGGTTAGAAAATAAAATAAGCAAGTTGAGTATTTCAATCTAACTGACGCGGTTGACTAGAGCTCATATAGAATTAAAACTAAACAAAAGTCAAGTTAACAACAGTGGTAATAAGGGGTGCGAGGAAGAAAATATTATACAATCAAGGAACAAACAAGCAAAAAAAAGACGAAACAAAATTACGTATTCGGTGTTAAGACAGGTCAGGTCCATTGTAGATGTGATGATTGAACAAACTTCTTTTGTATGCAGAGTTTAGGATTCAATATGTGAATTGTCATTACTTCTGCGACTTGAAGAAGTTTGATTCGCATTCTTTTAGCAAGATTCCAGCGTATTCTGTAGATAACTATAAACTTGTTTTGTGGGTTTGCTCGGTGGACACCAGATTCAATCAGGTGTTCCAGGATAGAGCTTCTTTTTTGAGGGGGGGATCTTTTTTCTCCTTTATAAAACCATGAGGGTAAATGTTTGATGATACATCTGGATAGCGAGCGCTGGATACGGCCGACATACCTAGATCCACAGGTGGACCAGGTGAATTGGTAGATGCACATTGATGAGGTCAGCCTACAGTGGTATCTTATCCTTCCCGTTCATGCGAATCATCGCTTTCGTAGAGAAGGTTAATCGGAGTTCAGCCGTGAATTTATCTAAAATTTAGAATTCTAATGATACAACTGATAGGACCCAGCATAAAATAGTATATCATCCTTGCTCACATATATTGTGATTTAGTGTGTGAGATCAATTCACATACAGACAACCACGGGCATCAATTCGATTGGGACAATATTCAAATATTAGACAGAGGAAACAACAAGAATGCTAGAGAATTTTTAGAAACCAGCCTGGTATTCCAGTGAATCACCAATCAATAGACAAAATTTACCAACCGATAAGAAAAAAACCTCACACACAAAGGGTCAAAGTTCAAGTCAAAGAAACAATCAGTTCCACTACAATCACGTTCAAGGTCACCGAGAGAGATGATTAATAAACTCATGGAGAAATCTAAAAGCTCACTTCAATTCAAATTGAAGTATGCGCTGAAGATGTCACCCAGTAGGGTGATGAAAGCTTCGCAAATTAACTATCCAGCTCAGAGAACACAATCACATCAAAATCAATTCACCGTCTTTTGTCTCACCTTAGACTTTGTCGGGTCACCAACCCACTAGAATAGACATTTCCAGCCAATAAGAACAGTCCACTCTCACAGTTGTGAGCCAACTGTATGGTGATAAATTAAATACGATAAATATGATGTTTCGACTCCTAATAAATGAATTGTACAATATCTTACAGTCACAGGCCAGCAGCCTCTGTCTTTTGGTATTTTCGCGGCTCAGTGAATCGGAAGGTACAACGGACAAATAGACATATTAGCGTACCAGTCGAGTTCAGTACCGTGATAATAGTTAGCGGTCCCAGACATAACAAATTAGCAACAGATTTATTCAGTTCAGTTGAGTTATCACAACAACCTTGGAAATATTCCGGTTGTTGCTAAGACAATTAACTATAGAAATTGCGAATGTACAGCTTGAGAGTGATATCTTTGAGAAGAGTAACTGTTCGTTGAACGCCTTTTAATTGTGTAAATGCCTACCATCCCCCCCCTTGGAAATTCATCAACAAGTATGGAAGATCTGAACATCTAAGTATAGTAAATTAAAGCAAAATAAAAGAAGAAATCTGTTTTTGCTTAACTCGATTTATGATGGCCGGAATACTTCTCTAGTCAAAAGCTTTATCCTGCAGTCAAGTTGGTTCCCTTTTATGCAACAACAAAATACTGTTTGATGCGATAAAAGGTTGATAGATACCCTCCTCCTAATGTTGAATGTTATTGTGTAGGCAAGTTTGCATATATCTGCGGTAGTAGTTAAATTGGGGAGGGGGTAGGCTATCGGTATTAGGACATATCTTTAATTCATGGAAAATTCCCATTGCAACATACAGAAAATCAAAACAAGTGATTCAGCGAAGAGTCTTTTTTCAACGAATTTATCATCAAGCTGTACAATCGTATAAATGCACATGGTTTTTAAAAAGTTATATCCGGTGAGGGAATTGAAACATAGGTGTGAATGCATAAAATAATAATAGTAATAATAATAGTATGAAATGCAATTAAAACTAAAATGTTTGTGATTATAATCATGGTTAAATGTCAAGCGGCAAAGCAAATTAATGTCATATATAGAATAATTCATAGGATGGATAGAACTTGAAAAAGGGTGTGCAATTATAAGATTAGTAGACAAATCGAATAAAATAAAAACGTTACGTAATATTGTGTGAAATTTAATAGCATAGAATTTAATGTTGCATAAAGGAATTGATTTAGAATGACAAGTGAAATAATACCGGGGACAATTAAAAGTGAGAGTAGTAATAGTAACAATTGACTTAATAAGGAAGAGAATACAAATACCATGAAAGTTGAAGGGATTGAACGAACTTTTTCTGTCTTAATCCCTCTATGCTAAAGTATGGTAATCCCCAATCATATTTTGGCTCTACAAATTTTTCATTTTGTCTATTCAATTTGTATTCTCTTCCTTTATTACATCAATTGTTACTATTACTATTCTCACTTTGAACTGACCCTGGTATTATTATTTCACTCGTTTCACTTGTCATTCTAAATCAATTCGGTTTTGCAACGTTAAATTCTATGATATCAAATTTCACACAATGTTACATAACGTAATTGCACACCTTTTTCAAGTTCTATCCATCCTATGCATTATTCTATATATGACATTAATTTGCTTTGCCAATTGACATTTAATTACGATTATAATCACAAACATTTTAGTTTTAATTGCATTTCATACTACTATTATTATTTTATGCATTCACACCTGTGATTCAATTCCCTCACCGGATATAACTTATTAAAAAACCGTATATCTTTAATTCTCTGAACAAAAAGCTTACGTCTCAGGAGAACAAATGCTTTAGATGGTACTATTGCCAGACATCTTGTAGTTACGAGTGATGAGGTGGATAACACTGTGGAATTCTTCAAGATTATTAAGAGAATATAATTCAGACTTCCTCAAATTTACCAATGCAATCGATATCAAACTTATGAAACCTGATTTATGTGAGTGTTCAGAAAGATCCACTTCTCAGTCATGCCTTACTCTCGGTAATTCAGCAGTCTGATCTGATTGCATAATCTTTTGCCTTGACGTAATTTATTCCTTTGACTTGGCTTCAACTCACCATACTATTACGTGACTGATTAGTTACAATTATCCTCAACTTCTCATCTCTTGTCATGATTTTGAAACTCAATTTTCAATATATCCGATCATTAGTTTTGTTTCATGATTTCATCATGAACTGACGTTGCTGAGAGGACCATTGGAAAACCAGACAGGGAGTACTGGACAGCTGTTTCTGTTGTCCTAGTTTGGGATTCATCAGCAATACTCAAGTAATACTGGAGTTCGACGCCAGGACCTTCTGGTTACAGGATGAGCTACCTTGGAGACAGTTCAGCCTTTTGGTGTCCGGTTCAATTACCAGCCCATGAATTGTGACTGTTGATGAGTCTGAAACTAGGAAAAAACAATCAGCTGTCCAGTTCTCTATGCTGGTTTTCACTGGTTCTCAAACTAATAGCAATCTGTGGTTAAACTTGAAAAATAAAAATTATTCTGATTCTCGCTAGTGACTGGCTGGCTACAGGACTACAAGTTGGCTGTACTTCTAGTGTGAAGT